TCTGCTCTAGAAGATCAGAAATATAAAACCACCAGAAAGGTGATCTTGTTTTTCTGATGTGTCAAGCATTTTTGAAAAGGACAAGGTTTACTGCTGAGACTCCTGTTTGATGTTTGAACGGAAACACTGTGGTGGCATTTAAGTCTCTCTGCTGGCTGTCAGGCAGTCAAACTCCAGGACATAACACCACCTTTTCAGACTGCTGCTTCTTTAAGCCAAAAGGTATATGTCTGCCCCTTGAGGTACTCTGGGGTCCAGTGAGGAGACTGCCCCACCTAGAGGAGGCCATGCGTTAGAGGAATTGCCCTGAGAATGGCAAGGGAGGGGGACATCCACAGAGTGTAAATACTCTCACCATGGCCAATTTCGAGCAATCAATGGGACATCACTGAATGCAAAGATGGGAAGAGATTCACAGCAGCATACCGTCACATAGCATTTCTGCCACAGATACAATAGACATAACCTCAAGTAAAATGTAGTAAAATAATTGGGAAGTGGTTTGACTAGGTATTACCTTTGTTTTTAAAATTATTTATTTAATTGTAAGTTTATATAACTTTAGTTTTAATAATGGCTCTGTTTAACAACTATTTAGTAAAATCCCTAAAAAACTAAACTAAACTTGTACAGGCTCTCATAAGCCTGTACAAGTCAGCTTTAGCATACCACTGGCTGGGAAGAAATGTGGGTATCACGTGGTAGCTAAGAGGTCAAGTTCATAACACCCTTGGCGTATCCAAAACTATCTGGGCAGAATTTAACAGGGGCAGAAATGACCACAGAGTGGGTGGGTGGGAGCAAAGCCTGGAAAATCCTATTTTGTTGTGGCTGTTTTGACCCTGTGTCTATTTCTGTTTCTGGATCATGGGCAGCAACTGAAACCCAATCCAACGTGTGGGCACTGAGGTCTCCCTCTGCAAATGCAGCTGTGTGAAATGCTTCCATCACGTGCTGCTCCCCACAAGGAAAGCCTGCTCCCTGCTAAACTGGACAGACTAAAACTTGGCCAGGCATGGTGGCTCATGCCTGTAATCCCAGCACTTTTGGAGGCTGAGGCGGGTGGATCACCTGAGGTCAGGAGTTTGAGACCAGCCTGGCAAACACAGTGAAACCCCATCTCTACTAAAAATACAAAAATTAGCTGGGGATGGTGGCGGGTACCTGTAATCCCAGCTACTCAGGAGGCTGAGGCAGGAGAATCACTTGAACCCAGGAGGCGAAGGTTGCAGTGAGCTGAGATCGTGCCCCTGTACTCCAGCCTGGGCAACAGAGTGAGACTTGGTCTATTAAAAAAAAAAAAAAAAAAGTTGAAACTTGCCCCCACCTTTCCCTAGAATGTGTGCTTGTGTCCTGAAGACTTACTCCCTTGGTCAGCTCCTCTTCTCCTCTGCCTGGGATGAGCCAAGTCACAGGATATGTCCCAGGATGCCCCCTCAAACGCCCACAGTGAGTAGTGCCTTCTGCCTGAGCCTCAGGAACAGAGGCAGCCCCAAGATGTCCAGCTTGGACCAGCAGCTCCGAGGCCTGGAGACGGCTCTGCCTAAAGAGTCATTTGCCAGAGCACACTTGAAAACAGAACAGCCCAAGTCCAGGAAGAGAAAGGGTTATGGAAATGGATCTGTGTAACGACACAGCGTGAGTGCAATTAATTGTTGTCAAAGCATTTTGCTGGCTGCATTCATCTCTTATGTAGGAGAACAAAACTGTCATAATGATGACAACTTTATTCAACATCGGTGCAATTACCAAACCTAAAAATAGGATGCAAAGGGGAAATTTTCTTGAGAGGGCTGAGCTCTGCTACCCATGTTGCATGCCTGGGACAGTCCGCCCAAAGATGGAGAGGGGAAAGGAGGGAGCTGAGATTCATTGATTGTCATCAGGTGTTACTAGGAGAAGTATTTTACCCGTTTTTATCTACATAATCCTCCCTTCCCCTCTTTGAAGGGAAGGGCAGTCGGGTGGAGCACTGAGGACCAAGATTTGTTGAACACGAATTGTGAGACAGGCTCAACAAGCATTCTGTACATAGTTTACTTAAATTATCACAAGAATACTGAAAGGGAGGTATTATTAGCCTCATTTTACAAATAAAAAAGTTGAGTCTCTAAAGGTTAAGAAGTTTGCACAAGATCCTGTAGCCAAAGTCCTTCCAATTATAAAGTTATTCACATAGAGTTGCTTGCTGTGAAACATGTGAGCTTAGCAGAGCCACACTGCTGTCCCATGTTCATCCCCTTTTCTCTTCTATCACACACCCCATTGTCCTTCCTGGACTCTATCACCCTTTCAGGAGTGAGAAAATGGTCAAAGCCTTGGAATCAAAAGGACCTGGGTGGAAGTCTAGGCTCCATGACTTATTAGCCATTGTGACCTTGGCTCAATTGCTAGACCTCTATAAGCTTTAGTATTTTCAACTATCCCTTGAAGACAACAATCATTCCCATTCCCTAATATTGATGGGGGATTAAATGAGACTACATATGGTAAGTGCTTTGCAGAGCATCCAGCACATAGCAAGTACTCTATGGCAGTGGTTATCATTATTGGCAGAGAACATGGCACTGAAAAGAGGGGTCAGGTCCCAGCCCGACCTCCATTCAGGATACTATAGACAGGATCGGGCCTCAGGAGGGTGGCAGCATCCAGCAATCTTCACTCCTGTTCCACGTGGCCAGTTGGCTCCTTGGTCCTCCCAAAGGGAGGGACCTTGCCCCGGAATGGGCACAGGGCAGAGTAAGGATGGTGATACAGTTTGGATGTTTGTCCCCTCCAAACCTCATATTGAAATGTGACTACCAGTGTTGGAGGTGGGTCCTGGTAGGAGGTGACTGGATCATGGGGGCAGATCCCTCATGAATGGCTTAATGCCATCCCCTTGGGGATGAGTGCATTCTCGCTCAGTTCACATGAGATCTGGTTGCTTAGGCGTCTGAAACCTCTCCCTTCTCTCTCTTGCTCTTCACCATTTGACATGCGTGCTCTCCCTTTGTCCTCCACCATGATTAGAAGCTTCCTGAGGCCCTCACCAGAGGCAGGAGCCATGCTCGTACAGCCTGCAGAACTGTGAGCCAAGTAAATCTCTTTTCTTCAAAAATTACCCAGGCTTGGGTATTCCTTTATAGCAACACAACAATGGACTGACCCAGAAGGCAGGGAAGACTCGCCCTCTACAGTGAGGTGTGCTGACCACATGCAGGGTACTGTTCTAAGTTATCTGCAGGTATGAACTCATCTAATCTTTATAGAAAGCCAGTGTGGCAGGTGCCATTATTCCTCCACCTTAGTAAAGTGAAAAGTGAGCTTTGACTCTTCCAAGTTCCCCTCTGATCGTTTAGGCATAGCCACACCAGGCCTACAGCTCTACCTCTCTAAGGCAATGGGAACCAGTTCACCAACACCACCTGCAGGAGATGACTCTACTCCCTAGGAAGCTCTCTCCTTGACGCATGCTTGGAAAGGTGAGCTCTTTATCTCTCAAGGAAAATATTCACTTTGCGCGTTGGAAAACAGAGGAGTTTTTCCTGCTTTTCCTCTCTTCTTCCCTTTGGTCACTTCTGTGGGATACACAATAAGAGACTGGGCAACAAGAACAAAATTATGTGAGAAGAGGCAGACTTGGGTTTAAATCCCAGCTACAGCTAGACATACCTGTTGCTAGCTGTGGATCTCTGCAGGAGACTCCTCTCCTCAGTTTCCTCATCTATAAAACAGAGATCATATCTGCCTCACGGTATCGTTATGAGGATCAGGGAAAAGCATATGAAGCGTCCAGATCACTGCCAGATGCCTTGGTTTATAACTATCGTTATTTGGCCACTTCTTCGTAGCATCAAGCCCTTGTTCTGCACTACGTCACCTAGGGAGGACTCACCTTCCCTGAGGCTCCCCAGTTCCCTCATGGATGAAGTGGGGATGAGAACATCTAACCTGCTGGGCACGATCACTCTGAGGGGTGGGGGAGGTCACCGTGTGAGCACTTAACACAGTGCCTGGCGCACAGCCCGTGCCCCATCACTGTGCCCTTTACTCTTAGCTTTATCATCATGATTAACTTCTCACAAGAACTGGAAATTCACTGAAACTCACAACAGATCATGAGAATTATTTCCCAATCACAACTTGTGGGAGGGAAATATCTGGATGTTTCTTTTTCATAAACATAAGAGCTGTCAGGCCAGTGGCAGTGACTCAGCCTTTAATCCCAGCACTTTGGGAGGTGAAGGTGAGCAGATTGCTTGAGCCCAAGAGTTTGAGACCAGCCTGGGCAACATGGCAAAACCCTATCTGTGCAAAAAATACAAAAATTAGCCAGGCGTGGTCGTACCTATGGTCTACTCGGGAGGCTGAAGTGGGAGCATCACCTGAGCCCGGGAAGGTCAAGGCTGCAGTGAGCCGTGACTGTACCACTTACGCTCCAGCCTGGGCGACAGAGTGAGACCCTGTCTCAAAAAAAAAAAAAAAAAAAGACATCTCTACTTCCATTTTAATGGTCTTTGTGTACTTGTGTCTCCTATTATGAGCCACTTCAGATCTTTTTGAAAGGAGGCAGAGTATAGAAACAAAACAGCTCCATGGTGAGAAGTAACACGGATCATTCACCTTCCACATCCGGTTGCATTTGCAGGACGGCTGTACAGTTAGATTAGCGTCTGCAGTCTGCCATCCAACACTTGCCTCTCTGGATGAGGGTCACTAGTCGTCTCAGGAATGAAGCCAAAGCCAGGCCCAAGCAGCCCCAAAGGTAACTCTATCCCTAACAACAGTTACCTGGTCGGTAATCTGCAGGTATTGGCCAAGAGGAAGCCTTCTCCCAAAATCATCACCTCAAATTCTCCAGTTTTACACCATAAACCTCGGAGTAAAAGTCTGCATTTTGTTTTCCATAGAATTTTTAGCAGCACGATGCCTTTTTGAAAATTTGCCTTTTCCTCCTATCAGTTTTCCAACCATATGTAGACAAATCCAGCCTGTAATGGTTGAAATGAGAGAGCCAGTTAAGTGAGACACTCAAGTTGTCGCTGCATTTTAATAAACATAGCACACAATGTGTTGCTACACAAACACCATTCATAAACCTGAGTCACAGGTTTCAGATGGGAGCTGGGGATGTGTATAAATAGCCTGTGTATGTTAAACAGTAGAAAAGAAGTTTGGGGAATAAGGTCAAAATCATTGTGCCCAATTTAAACATCATAAAAATCTCAGCCTTGTCATTATTTACAACCCCCAGCACAACTCCCACCCAAAAGAGATTGCCAAATGGAAAATTCTAAATAAGATGATGTCCTCGTGTCGACCTAAACAGTACAAATGATGCAGCATCATAAAACGAAGTTATAATTATGTTGTCTCACTTCCTGGCTGCCGGATGCCCATGGTACAGAGCAGCCACTCCACAGGATTTTCTGAGCTCTGAGCTGTCTGGGGTTTTTGTAAGAACATAGCTTTGACTAGCATTGACCAATTGATTTGCATTAAATGATTCTGATGGTCTGAGGTGGCAAAAGAAGAATACAACCTGTGTGGTGGAGAACTAACACCTTGAACATGTTGCAAACGTTTCAAAAATCCATTTTTCCTATATTCACCCCTCCTCAGCTGAAAACAGCCCCGCGAGCTCAAGGCTGGTTACAGCTGAAGGCAAATCCCACACACCCTCCAGCCCCTCCCATTTGAGAAAAAGGGTGTGGCCATGGCTTGGAAGAAAGGCAACAAGAGTCTTGGGCAGCCAAGGCATTCTCGAGGCTTTCAACAGGTCCCTGCAGACTTGGCCTTGACTCTGGGTCATTCTGATCCTTAGCAAGCACCTTGCAGCCTTCCAGCCTCTGCTCCCATGGCCCAGGAACTCAGTGTGAACTTGCAAGGTGCTGTTCAATGAAGTGGATTCAGGAAGCAGCAATTCTCTCTCAGGAGAGGTCTAGTGTTTTGTCACCTACTCCCCCACACCACTGATGCTCAGAAGGGCTCTAGGACCCTGTATGTGGAATTCGAATGCCAAAGATTGACACACAGGGCAACAACAGACACGCAGGGTTAACTTGGCTCCCAGCTGGCTGCGTGATCCCAGCTCCCGTTCAGTCAGACTGCCTGCTGGGTCTATTTCTCACATATCCCCATTCTGGTCCCTCCTCCAGTCACCAGCAGAAATGCACCTCTCCGTCTGAGGTCTCTCCCATCTCAGTCTCTGATGACGTGCACGGTCTTTGCGTTAAGAGCTCACTAAAGTGTAGATCATGCTGAATGCAAAAAGAAAAGGAAAAGAAGGCGTTAGTGGAAGCCCACAGAGGACTCAGGCTGCCCCTCAGGAGAGGGACCTTCCAGAGGCCAGACTCCTTGGCTTCTCCCTCATTCCTGTCACTATAGCATCTCGCCGACTCCACTACTGTGCCCCTTCTACTTCCCACAACGCTGGAATAAACATTTTTGGGGAGAGCATATTGTATCCCTTGGATAAAAGATGTGATTGCTCTAAGTGCCTATTATTATTCTCATCAGGATGATTATTATGGTTGTTTTCCTTTTCATGCAATTGCAGGGCAGGTCTGGGGGTGCAGTGGACTCTTTATGCCAGCAGCTGCCATGTGCTTGCATGATGGCTGTGTCCAGGGGCTCCCAGATGATGCTGGATAATACGCTAGTGCTGGGAAAAAGATCATCCTCGTTATTGCAAAGTCCTGCATGGGAACATAAGCCCTCCGGGCACCAGAACTCAGTCAACTCTTGATTGGGTAACTCCCTGGCCCTCCTATTTTTAATGGACTCCAGGAATTAAACATGCATTAAAAGCGTGTGACCTAAAGTATTGCCCCAATACTACTAAGAGTGGGGGTAAAGGGGACATGTATCCCTGTGCTCTTAATAAGGACTTCAGGTTAAGTTTGCAAGGCTGAGGAATGATCTGCATCAAAATATACCTCTTTATTTGGCAGAAAAAGAAACTGACTGCCTTTCACATTATAGTGAGAAGAAAGATTCATCTAAGAAGTAAAAGAAATGAAAAGAAGTCAAAAGGTTTTACTTCTAACCCTATGCAGCTGTGGAGGCCCAATGGGCTCTTCTGAGTAGCTGAAGTTCCATCTTCAGGAACCTCACACATCTCATGTGCACAGAGAACCACTGGTCAGATCTGGAGCAAGAGGGACTTACTCCACCTGGGGAAGCTGAGGGCCAGATGAGGAGTGACAGCAGGGGGAGAAGCCACATCCTAACTCCGAAGCCAATGCTTTTTGCATGACAGTAGTAAGCCTCACGTGGATATCTTTATTTACTCACTTTCATTCATTCTTTCATTTAAAACCAACATGGTCTCTGGTGTCAAGGAACAAGTAAACCATAAATAACATAGAGGGAGAGAAATAAACCTGAGGAGGGACAGGCATGATCCAGAATAACCATGCAGGGGGATGGTCCTACTACTTCAGGTGACCTAAAGTATTGCCCAATACTTTAGGATACTGTTCATACTGGGCTCACCAGCTAGCATTAGTATCTGCGTTAGCTAGTCCCCTTCTAACACAACCCTCAAATTATCACCTGGTCCACAAGGCAAACTGTGAAGTGGGGTGATGGGTGCCATGTGATTCAAACAGGATAGAAGAGCGAGCACAGGCTCTGAAGCCAGATGTCGCGAATTATTAGCGGGGACCTGAGACGCATTTCTTAACCTCACCAAGGTCCTCAGGAGCTCCTCAGGAAGCTGAAACCATAAACCACCCACCCCGTCTTCCCCGCTGTTGTGTGGGTCTCTAGCCCTGAGCTCAGTTCAGACATGGCTCTGCACACACACGGGTCCCCTTCTCTCCCTCCCACGGTGGCCTGTGCTGGCGCTCCTGTGCTCTCCACCAGCTCTGGATCTGAGGGGCCGGCAGCTCCTAAGGTGGGAGAAACAGAGTCTTTTATGGAGCCCCACAGAGCCCGAAGGGGCCAGATTCAACAAAGAATGCAGGAGACCGTGGGGGCCACCCAGGGTCCCAGTGAGGCTGCAGGAACTGTTTCCAATTTTGTTTTAGAAACAAAGTGATTAACACATGTATCATGAAGGCAGGGCCAAATTGAAGTAATGAACTAGAGGACAAACAGTCAAACAGACTGTCTGGAACACACTCAGTTATAGAATGATCACACCCATCCAACCCAGAGGAGCTGCCAAGCCCTCCCCACCCCGCCCCCTCCCACCCCCCACAGCGGAGCACGCACAGCAGCTTCCCTCCCTGTGAATTCATATGCCTTCTTCCTGGCGACGCCTCGGCTCCAGCATCTGCTGCAACAAAACTGAAATGAGGGAAATATCTTGCCTCCGTCTTCATCCCCACTGAGGTGGATCCCAGGCTAAAGGGGCAGGAGCTAATGAAAACACTGGTCTCATTCTGTTGGCTTATAGGAGAGACAGCGCTGTCTCTAGGGACAGGCCACTCAGCCCATGACTCTGCAGAAGGGGAAGCCTGTGACTCCACAAAGAAAGCAGGGTTGAGCACGCTGCAGGGAAGAAACCTAACCTCCGAGGTATCCAGTCCCTAAGCCCACAACGGCTTTGTCCACACTCTGTATGTTTCCCAAGACACGAACCCATCTGACAAACCTTTGGTTGTCAGATAGTTCAGACTTGGAGTCAGAAAGACTTAGATGAACCCACTGGGCACCGTGGAAATCTCCGGAGGCTTCAAAGACGGTCAGGCTCCCCGCAAGCTGGAGTAGTAAACATTCCAGAGCACCCCACAGAGTCTGCAGACGCAGGGGATGTAAAGGGAAGGCAGAACCAAGTAGAATGCTCCAGAGCCACCAAGGTGTGCATCAGGATTGTCCAGAGAGCTTGTTTAAAATGCGGAGCCCAGCCCTGGAAAGTCTGAATAGGTAGCTATAAGCCCAGGAATCTGTATTTTTAAAAAGCACACCTTCCTCCCTTCCTTACCCCTCACTTTGATAAAGACTTTTCTAGAGGTTTTCTAAGATAGCCAGCAGTTAAGAGCTACTGGGCATAGTGGCTTACGCCTGTAATCCCAGCACTTTGGGAGGCCGAGGCGGGTGGAACACATGAGCCCAGGAGTTCAAGACCAGCCTGGGCAACATGGCAAAACCCTGTCTCTACAGAAAAATACAAAAATTAGCCGAGCATGGTGGTACATGCCTATAACAGCTACTCAGGAGACTAAGGCAGGAGGATCCCTTGTGCCTGGAGTTTGAGGCTGCAGCAAGCTATGATCCTGCCATTGTATTCCAGCCTGGGAGACAGAGTGATACCCTCAAAAAAAAAAAAAAAAAAAAAAAAAAGGAAAATGAGAAAGGAGTTCAACCTTTGAAATCGGACTCAAGATGTATTACTTATAGCTGTGACACTATTAGCTGTGAATTCAGGAACATAAACTTCTCAGATTCAGTTCATTTTTCGTATGTGAGTGAGGATAGTATTTATCTCATAAGTTGAGCAATACGTACAAAGCTCTGAGCACAAAGCCTGGCTCATTTCTAAATGTCAGAACTTTGGGAGGCTGAGGCAGGAGGGTCACTTGGGCTGAAGAGTTCAAGACCTGCCTGGGTAACACAGTGAAACCCCATCTCTACAAAAAATTAAAAAAAAAAAAAATTAGCTGGGCATGGTGACACATACCTGTAGTCCCAGCTACTCAGAAGGTTAAGGTGGGAGAATCGCTTGAGCCCAGGAGTTCAAGGCTGCAGTGAGCAGTGATGGCACCACTGCACTCCAGCCTGGGTGAAACAGTGAGACCCCATCTTTAAATAAAAATTTAAAAATAAATAAAAAATGCTGGACAAATGCAGCCACATTCTGCCCTGCCACAGCCCAATCCAAACCTAGGTGTGGCGTGGAGTCCAACATCCCAACCTCTCCTCCTCTTCACCTGGCTGCTGTCAACCATGCCCTTTTGGAGACATCACTGGGAGGTTTGGAGATCACCATGGCCCTGCCACAGGTAACGATGGAATCGCAAGTGACAGGTGAGAGTCCCCAGAGATGAGCCAAAGAGGAGCAGGAAGGAGGAGGAGACATTTGCGGAAAAGGCACTCTGGGCTGTCAAACCACAAGATAGTCTGTTTATAACTATCTGCTTAGTTAGGATGTTCTGAGCGGAGAGGTGCAAAGAGGGGAGATTCCTGAAACAGGATTGCAAAGTAGGCAGGTTTTTCTTAATTGGAATGGTGTTATGTAATATTGGAAAAACGGTAAATGAAGCATTTAGTGACCCAAAATGCCACTTTATGAACCATGACAGCCACTGTGGGACTGGGGCAGGGAGTTTGGAGCGTCTGTTATGGTTCCCAAGAATCCTTGCAAACAGGCCACGGGGCAAGGGACAGTGAGGGTAAGCCTGAGCCCCGGGACCACAGGCAACCTGGTGGGCTGAGCTGCAGAGTTGAGAGAGGCAGGAAGCCCTATAGGGAAGAAGGAGTAACCAACCGCACTTCACCAGTTACCTCCAAAGGGATGTTGACAGGGTGTTTTCACTGCATGGCCCTAAGGATGTGCCCATCAGCAGGCAAGGCCTCCTGCAGGATCTCCTGCCCCTTTCCTTATCTACACAGAAGCCCTCGCTCCTGAGCCAGAGTCAGACAGCTAGGCCCACACCCGACTGGCCTTGACTCCCACCCTCGCAGGCCATCTCCCAAAGGCTGCCTCCCAGAGGCCAGCCTGAAATTCTCTTCCTTTTGCTGCAGGAGTCAAAACCACCCGGAGGGGCAGCTACTCACCAGTAAAGGTAGTAGAAGAAGGAGAGGAGATAGAAGGCCAGCTTACACCAGGCCTCCTTCTGACAGTAACTCAAAGTGTCGGCATTCATGACCACCGGTGGGTCGTAGGCTAGCTCTGAGCTGTCTGCCGGACAGTGGAAATACCTGCAGGGAGAGAGGACATCACTGTCTCCGAGGTCCTGGTACTTCTGGCAGCACCTGGGCAAGCCCTTCTGATGTAGGGCTTCTGTCGAGCAATCCCTGCCGAGCGATTGCCTGCCTTCTGCCCAAATCACAGCCCAAGCACCGCTGAAGAGTGGCTCAGCCACTATCTTCCAGCAGGTAGTAAATCCCCAAATACTCCGACCCACTGGCATCATGGCAATTTCACCCATATACACAGCTGCTCGAACAGAAGGGGAAATGTGTCACCTGGCATTGCCTGGGAGTCTGAGGAAGAGCCGCCTCTCAGGACAGGTGTAGGCAGAGGTACGGGGCTCTACTGCCACTGCTGGGGCACCACCGTTCCTCCATTCTACCCTAAAAACTACTTTACACAGACCGTTATTGAAAATCCTGAGTACCTCAGGACATCCTATTCCCACTTGAGTGTAGAGCAGTTTACAGGTGCTTTCCTTCTTGATAGTGGGACCTAGAACTAAAAAAGAACATCAGCCATCTGTCGGGAGAGAGCGGGCCCCGGACGGCAGCTGGGTGAGCGAAAGAACGTGGGTGGGAAAGAGGAGGAGGGGGAGCAGCTAACATGAACTGTGTCTACTTCAAAATACTACAGTCCCAAGGCTCACCTGGCCACAGCCCCTGAGGAGGGGAGTCCAAAATACCATATTCCCAAGGCTCACCTGGCCACAGCCCCTGAGGAGGGAAGCCATCAGGCTTGGTGAGACCTGGGGCAGGAGTCTGAGCCTCCTGAGTCCCTTGGGAAGTGGTCACTGCCCCCAGGACACTGCCCCCAGGGACCTGGCCACAGCCTCCTGCTCAGCCCAAGAACAAAGTACAGCTGGAATCTCTCAGCGAGTTCCTTTTTCAGTCATTCTGGTAAAGCCACCCACAGGCCAGGAGTGCAAATAAATGGCTTCCCTGGGCTCTGGGACAGACAGTGGTTCTCAATGGTGAGCATGGGCCTGGGGAGAGGGCTCCAACCGGGAGATTAATCACACTGGCTTTGAAGAACATCCTGCAATATAGCAACTCGCAGATCCAGCATCTCTGCTCCCTCCTCCTTCCCCTTCAGAGAACTGCACTGACATTATCTGTCACTGACACTGTGCTGAAAAGAAATCACAAGCCAGATTCGATGACAACTGCCAGCTCACAGCCCTCCAGGCCACTCACCTCTCCTCTTCCTGGGAGCGATCTCAAAAGCTATTTGCTGTCACTGTAGTTTTATTCCCAGGTGACCTCATTAAGTGGAGACAGAAGGGCAGAGTGGCCATATGGCTCCGTGGAAAGAGCAAAGGCCCTGCCAGTCACTGGTCACCACACTGACTTTCCTTGGGTCACTCATTAACCCAGCTGAGCCTCAACTTTCTCATCTGTGAAATGGGGACGGAATTACCCTCCGTACAGGGCTGCTGTGGACTATTACATGAGGTGATGTATGCAAATAACCTCGGAAGAACAGGTACTGAGTCAACAGCAGACAGTCCTATTTCCTTTACACAAACTAAGAGCCAGAGCAGGAGGGGACCTTCTCTGTATGAGAAATGTCACTGATCTGGACCTGTTGGAAAGGCGGGGGAATGGAAAGGGGGATAAAGGGTGTATAAGGCCTTTGATGTTTAAAGGACTCCTCTCCTCCTCATTCTTTTTTCCTTTCATGTTCTGAGAACTTACTAATTGCCAGGAACTAGACTAGATCCTGTCAGGGATTCAAAAAAAAAGGTAAGACAAAGTGCCTACTGGCAAGGAGATTATAGCCCCTCCTTTCCTCCATAGAGATGAACTTTCCAAGTCTATGGACACTGGCTGCCTCTCCTTTTCCTCCCTTTTGGACAAGTGCTAGCCCCACAAGCAGTGCCCTGATTGATGTTTTGTCAATCACATTTCTGACACGCTGCCTTGACAGCCCCCTACTTGAAGGACCTTGGGACGAACTCCTTTCCTGGGAAGAAGAGCCAGCCCCCGGGGCAGTGTGTCAGGCAGCAGGGACTCGGACTGGGATTTGTACAGAGGTGGGACGTAACCTCAGCCCTGCCACGTCCGAGCTGAGCAACGCTGGACAGCTGACTTAACCTTTGTGAGTCTCTGTGTCCCCATCTGTCAAACACAGAAAATGAAACCCAGCTCACTTGGTTATTGTGAATCCTGGATCTCCTATTTGACTTCTCTCTAATTCAGATGATAGCAGATTGCCTTTACTTAAAGTGAGGCTTCTCGATGTAACTGAATCTTTTTCCTTCCTCCCCAAACCTGAGATTTCTTCTACCCTGCTGGCCCTGGTCAATGGCACCATCAACCTCCCGGCCACCCAGCCTAGAGGCGTCCTCTCCCTCACCTGCACCCAATTATGGGCCAAGGCCTGTCCAGTTCACTTCCACGGGTTCTTCTGTTCTCTCATCATTCTGACTCCCACTACATGGGTCAAGGCTCTCTCATCTCTCCACCTGGAGTTCCCACCATAATCCCCCAGTTGGATTTCAATCTCAATATTTCCCCCTCTAACCCATCCTTTACACAACTTCCCAGGCCACCTTCCTAAAAATCAGATCAGGTAATGCCATTGTCTTCTTCTAAAGTTTCTGATCATTTTCCATTACCTAAAAAATAAATTAATTGCACCTTCCCCATAAAATCATTTCAGGCCCTCCATACCATACTCTCAGCTGTCTGCCAACCTGTCTCTTCTTATTTCCCTTGAAGAACCCTACATCCAACCTCACTGAACAACTACTATTTCCCAAACACACCAAGTGCTCTCTTAACTCTGGGCCTTTACACATGCTGGTCCCTCTCTCTGGAATGTGCTTTTCCAAAGTCACTCTTGAGTCTACTTAAGTGTTTCTTTCTCTATGCTCCTACCTGTATTCCTCATATGTCTGTTAAGAACATATTTCCCTCTACCACTAGGATGTACGTTCCTTAAGGGTAAAGGTTTTGCTTTACACTTAACGTGAAATCCCTCGCAATGCCTGGCGTGTAGAATGTATTCTGCATGTTTTCTAAATGAAGGAGTGCATGTCTTAGGTGTGGCTAAATTCAAGCCAGATTTTATGGTAGAATAACAATGATAAAACAATTTGGGGTCCAATGCTCTGGCAGCCAAGGGTCAAGGGCAGGCAACTTATCTGCACAAATACCCTCTCTACTATTTTGATATTCCTCCACCTCTGCCTCCTGTGTCCATATGGTGACTCTATTTTACAAAAAGCCAAAAATCACATGATCTGACGCATGGTCTTAGAAGGGAATAGAATATATGAAATTATAACTGTCCCAGAAAATCCAGCCCATCTGGTAGGTGCTTTTTTTTTTTATTAAGATATAATTTACATACCATAAAAGTCACCCTTTTAAAGATTACAATTGTACAATTCAGTGGTTTTTAGTATATTCATAGAGTTGTGCAACCATCATGACTATCTAATTTCAGAACATTTTCATCACCCTAAAAAGAAAACCTTTGACCCACTAGCAGTCATTCCCTATCTCATTCCCTCCCAGTCCCTGGCAGCCATGAATTACTTTCTGTCTCTATAGATTTGCCTATCCTGGACATTTCATATAAATAGAATCATGAAATATGTGGCCTTCAGTGTCTGGCTTTTTTCATTGATCCTTTCTTTAGGACTCCATGTTGTAGCATATATCAGTACTTCATTTCTTTTTATTGACAAATAATATTCCATTGTATGGATATACCACATTTTGTTTCTCCATTTATCAGTTGATGGGCATTCGGGTTGGTTCCACTCTTTGGCTGTTGTGAATGCTACTATAGATGCTTTTAACACTGACCTGCAAGGGATGGGATTGTGGTTAATGAAACCAACAAAAAGGGCCTTCTCTTATTGGACCTGCTGCCTGAGAGCACATTGGGAATGGGCTTTAAAGACAGAGACCCAGAAAGGAAGGGATGATTGGAAGGCACTAGAAGCTGTCTATTTGGGGGACATCATCACTGGAGAGCAGGTTGCCCTGGCAGAAAAGAAAGAGGATAGACCAGTCCCAGTCCGACTTACCTCCAGAAGTGATAGAAAAGTAGAGGGACATTCAGCCCCAGCGTGAGCCACTCTTGCGCACACAGGAACATGATGCAGAAGAGGCTATGGATGGAGTATTCTGGCAGCACCAGCTGAAGAGGGAGCAGAGACACAGCCCTGAGTTAGAGGAGGAAAACACCACTCCTGCTTCTATGGCAGCTGACTTCTGCCTGGACACTGCCTCTCACAGGCAGTTGATACAAAGGCCCTCCCTTGAGCAACATAGAGCCACTGTCCCAACACAGATCCATTTCTGGTAAGTTCTTCTTTTTATGGCACTCCTCTTTTCATTATACCCAAACCCAAATGACACAAGCCCTCAGTGCACTACTTGCTATTAATAGAATACCATGCTTGCTCCTAGGGGTCACCCATGGATGGCCACTGGGAAGACTGGAAGAGCTGGTCCAGTCCATGTGTCATCTGACCCAAGGCAGGACCACTAGACGAAATACTGCAAGGGTTTCTAATGAGTCCATAACTGCCCTGCTCTTATTTTTCTGGCCCCTGTGTGTCCTCCTACAGTAACTCACAAACCTAAAGTGAATATGTACATTTATCACAAATATAGGAGGGTCAGGAAAAAATGGCCAGCCTCAGGAGGCAGTGGCATTTTGCCTGATGGTGGATGGAGCAAGAGGAATGCAAGAAAAAGAACAATTAGCAATGATGAAGAGGGACAGTGTAGCCTCTGCGGGAAGAGGGAAGAAACTGATCCTGACCAAGAAAGGCCTGATGGTAGGAAGCAACCAGCAGGAAGACTAAGCTCTTCCACCTCCAACCCAGCCACACAGGTATAAATGGGTAAAAGGAGCTTAAAAGCATTGAAAAGCTGCTCCTAAGGGTGCTTACATTTGATCAGAAATCAAAGTTGTAAGCTAAAGGGTAACTGTAAGAAATTTGGCACCTAGACCAGCAGTAGGGAAGGTTACATATATAAATGCACCATTTTACCCAGTTATGTAGGGACATATAGATATATATTACCAAATATATTTATTTATATAATATATAAATATACTTTGTATTGCTTAGGCTATCCTGAATGCTTTGGTCTTCCTATCAAAATCTTTTGAAATATCCTCCAAGGCCCATCTCAAATGCCACTTGCTTTCTTTTTTTTTTTTTTTTTTTTTTTTTTTTTTTTTTTTTTTTTTTGAGACATAGTCTCACTCTGTCACCCAGGCTGGAGTACAGTGATGTGATCTCGGCTCACTCTAACCTCCGCCTCCTGGGTTCAAGCAATTCTCCTGCCTTAGCCTACCGAGTAGCTAGGATTACAGGTGTCTGCCACCACGCCCAGCTAATTTTTGTATTTTTCAGTAGAAACGGGGTTTCACCATGTTGGCTAGATCGGTCTTGAACTCCTGACCTCAGGTGATCTGCCCACCTCAGTCTCCCAAAGTGCTGGGATTACAGGCATGAGCTACTGTGTCTGGCCTCAAATGACACTTTCTATTGGGAGTTCTGCCCACCCTCCCCTGTACCTCTGGGCCCCACAGCATGTTTTCTGACCCCCTCCCAGGGGTACTTTCCTAATCTATCCATTGTGGAGTCATCATCCTCTTCCCACCTCCCAATACAGACAGACTCCTCTGTCCAGCATTCTGCCAGCCATCTTAGCCAACGTCTATTCTTTTCTCATTTCCATTTACAAAGTGCCTTTGTACAATGCACGGCAGTTAGGAGAGACTTAACAAATACTTGGTAAAGTGCATTGAACTGACCAAGTGCACGTGTTTCCAACATGGCTGGCTGGCATTAGATATGCAGCCTGTGGTTACAAACTAAGATGTCTTTGGGTGGAGAACAAACTCCCTCAAACCATCCCATCTGGGTGTGGACCAGGACTTTGGTCTCTCAATTTAGTTAGATGAGCTAACTACCCCAGATGGCAGACGCAGAGAGAGAAACACATACGCACACATTAAAAATAAAGACATGCACAGCACACGTGTAAGACATTTTGTAACTATGGGGCACCTTCTTTAGTCTCAAAGTCCAGTGCAGATGAATTGCATTAACCCTCACCTTAGACTTCTCAGGCAGTCACCTGAAGAATCAGAACAAAGGAGCCATCATTCCGGATGTGGTGACCCTTGGTGGGTGAACTGGGTACAGCCAGCCCCTGTGAATCTCAACCACCTGGCAGGAGGGGGCACGCCATGTCCCTAGTATATCTCCTCATAGGACCTCAGAGCTGTGCTAACCAACCCTATCTACCCCCAGCCAAGGCATCACCCTACCCCCTTCCATTCAAAGAGAAAGCCCACTTTCTCAGAGCCGGGTGCACCAGCCCCGGGAGGCAGTGGCTGTGAGTTCTGCTGTGCACATCTCCACAGTTTCTAATCATTGGTTTCAGCCACTTAAGCTGAGGTAATTAACATGTTTAGAGACAGCCACCATGGGCCTGAATCATCCATTATTTCTCCATCTCCATCTCCAACTCCAATGACAAATCTCTGACTGATTACAGTTTGGATTTCAGGTCCCACTCTTAATCACCACCGCTTCTTCTCTCTTTGGGGCTTGATTGATTGTGGAGGCTGCAACCTTCCAAGCAGGGAGGATTCATCACTGTCTCCATGCAGAAGAAAACTGCTTAATGGAGGCCAGCTAGTCACAGAGGTCTCCAGCCTTTTGGATGGTTGGAAAAAAAAACTGAATAATTTACTCTGCCATTTCAGGTGGCTTCTCCAGATGACCTCTTACTACCTAGAACACTGACCACTGACCTCTTACTACCTAAAACACTACTACTTACAAGTAGAAGAGGCTCCTCCAACTAATCCAGAGAGTTTTAGGAGTGACAGTGACCTTTTGATACACACACTGGTCCTTACCTACTTCCCCAGCTGCTCCTTGTCACAATTATGTGAAAGAGGTAGGAAACCTCTTCCTTCTAGACCAAATGGAAATCAGCCAGGCCATTTGCATGAGGCCTGCGCCATAGCCATTATGGCTGCCTCCACTCACACCCAACACTCAACCTTCTGGAAGGTGGTAAGGTTGCATTTCCCAGTTCTCGAGGGTTGGGGGTGCCGATGGGCTGTGGGCAGAATTGATGTGCAGAGAAGGGCCAGACCACTTAACGGCTGATACAAAATGCTCCAGAGTCTCTTTTCCGTTTCCTCTGACAAAGCAAAAAGCATTTAAGATGGTGGGTACTCCATCATCCTGAAGCCACAAGTAAGGAAAGAGGCCCCTAGGCAACTCATGATGGGCTAGAGTGTGAGCAATAAAGAAACTTGTGTTGCTTTAAGCTGCCAAAAGGTAAGTGTTGTTGTTTTTTTACCATAGCGTGATTTAACCTATCTCATATGATACCATCAGCAAGCCCCAGAATGAGTAATCAATGGGAAAAGCAAAGTTGTGTTCTTCACTCTTTATTCTCCCCCAACCATCCACCCAGCCCTTAAAAAGCCATCGAGGCTGGCAGGACACAGCTCCCTGTCACTGGACATGCTCGGGCACGGGCTGAATAGCGACCAGGCAGGTATAATGCTTATTTATTTGTGTTTGCAGTCAGACCAGGTGTTCCCTCCCAACTCTGAGAGTATCTGTTATATAAAGACCACCCCTAAAGCTTCCAAGCAAAATACAGAGATGCTGATGCAAGCACTCACCACAGCCCCATGACCCTGAGTCATCCCTTAGCTTTGGAAAACACTTTCTTTTTTAATAAGAGAAGCTGTTGAATGGTGCCAATCTCATTCTTTCACTCAACAAATGGAGAAACTGTTTCATGCAAGCCACAGCCTATTGAACTGTCATATACATTATTACCCTGCTTTCTAGAGTCACAAATTCTAAATCTCAACATGAGTATTGTGGGATTCATTCCAACCAGGGGGGATCATGGAAGGTTTGTGATCAAAGGGAAGTTGGAAAGGGCGAGTAAAACCTAATCACGTGTGGGAACTGGAGGTTGGCATCCTAGAAGTGGAACAACGAAAGCAAAAGCATAGAGAGATGGAAGTCACTGACCTGGGGTGGCTCCTTAACAAGGCCACTGCAAAGGGCCCCTATTCAAGGACATTAATGATATCAGGTAAGGACTGTGTAAATGCTAACTAACTTTATTCCACCTGTCCTGACTTCCTGCCCAGATGCTAACAGTCAATTTTCATTTGCTGGCAAACATTTCCCCCTGGATATCCCACAACCACTTTGTGCTGAAATTCACGTTCCTGCCAATTCCCGCAAACTTTATCTCCTAAATTTCTGACTTCTACTAACCACACCATCTCTGACTCCTTCTTCTCATCAGTCTCCATATGAGTCTGTTTCCAAATCTTGCTTCTTCACAGCCACTTGCATTTGTTCCTTCCTTTTTATTTATCCTGCCCCTGGACCTCCTCTCCAGGCTGGTGCAAGAAACTTCTAGCAGGTTTCCATCCCTGCACACATGTGCCCTCCATCCAACAGAGCAGTATATGCCATGCTCAGCTCAGCTCTAAGCTGTTGTCCTTAATCTTGTTTTTCCAGGAATTTTACTTGTCTGCATTTTAAATATTTTATTTCTAGTTATGCATCCTCTCATTCATTCACGTATCCATTTGTTTGCTGTTTTACCCCATCAATGACCTGCAGCTGGAGAGGGGCATCAGGGGTTGTGGGAGAGATTGTTCTTACCCCCAGAGGAAAAGAAGTAGAAAGAGGCTGCTTGGAGTCGAAGCAAGGGAATAATGCTCCTGGTAAGAAAAGGGATTCCCTAAGACCAGGGGAAGGGAGAAGATGAGGAAGATGGAGAGGCAGCAAGCGCCCCTGTTGTTGGAGATCTGTCTGCTCCTCATGCATCCCAAGGGCATAGGATTTCTGTGGGGCTGGTGTCAGCATGCCTGGGACCAAACACATTAAAAGTCACAGCTATGGAAGCCACGGGGAAGCTCCTGGCGCTGAGTTTATCTTGAAGAGAGTGGAAGCTGTGAGACTCAGAGTCTCCACTCATCTCTGAATGCCCCTGTCGACTCAGACAACAAGCTTTACAGCTGTAATCCCATAAGTCTCAATATATTAGCCCAGTGTCTCAAAGCATTATATAAATTCCTACAGTTACATAATACTCAACTGTGTGATCTTTAGAAAAGTA